AAAGGGAATTTTTAAATAAAGTCATCTATATTAAAATTAAAAACTTTTGTTGATCAAATGACATCTCATTCAGGGAAACAAACAGGCAATGCATCAAGTGTGAGAACATATTTGCAATTTCTGACAAAGGACTTGCATATACATTTTTTCCTACCCTACTAATAAGGCAACGACAGAAAACCCAATTTAAAAAAAACTGGCAAAAGGCTTGAACAGGCACTTCACAAGATGATAGGTAAGTTGCCAATAAACATCTGAAAAAGTGTTCAACCTCATTGGTCATGAGAAAAATGCAAATTAAATGCACAAGATAAGAATGCACACACTTACCTGACAACACCAAGTGTTATGAGGATATGAAGCATCTAGAACTCAAAATTTCTGCTTAGTAGTGTAAAAACTGGCACAACCACCTAGGAAAACTTATTATCTACTAGAGACAATCATATGTAACCTTATGATCCATATATGCCTATATAAATACCCAACACAAATGTACGCACATGTGTACCAAGAGACAAGTATGTGAATGTTCATTAAAAACTCCATTCATAAAACCAAATTGGAAACTATCCAAATGTCTATCAATGGGAGAATGGATAAATAAAATGTGGTATATTCACACAAAGGAATGAATGCAATAAGAATGTACCATCTACAGCAATAGGAAACAACATTGATGAATCTCATAAACATAATGTTGAGTGAAAAAAGGGTGAACACACAAAAAAAGTATATTCTGGGCCAGGCACAGTGGCTCATGCCTGTAATCCCAGCACTTTGAGAGGCTGAGGAGGGTGGATCACATGAGGCCAAGAGCTCAAGACCAGCCTGGCTAACATGGAGAAACGCCGTCTCTACTAAAAAGTACAAAAAAAAAAAAAAAATTAGCCAGGCATGATGGTGCATGCCTGTAATCCCAGCTCTCCGGAGGCTGAGACAGGAGAATCTCTTGAATCTGGGAGGCAGAAGTTGCAGTGAGCTGAGACTGCGCCACTGCACTCCAGCCTGGGCGACAAAGTGAGACTCTGTCTCAAAAAAAAAAAAAGTACATCGTGTATAATTCCACTTACATAGTTTTAAAAGTAGCAACAAAATCAATCTATGGGATTAGAAGTCAGGATAGTAGCTGCTCTTTGGGAGGATAGCAACTGAAGGGGATTATGAGGGTGCTTCTGTGGTGCTGGTTACGTAGGTGAAAAATCATTTGTGAAAAATCACTGAGCTATATAGGTTAAGATTTGTGTATTTTTTTTTTTTTTAAGATGGGGTTTCACCATGATGGCCAGGCTGGTCTTGAACTCCTGACCTCAGGCGATCCACGCACCTCAGCTTCCCAAAGTGCTAGGATTATAGGCGTAAGCCACCATGCCCGGCGTAAGATTTGTGTAATTTTTATTGTGTATTATACCTCAGTAAAAACTTTTAAAAAGAAGAGACAGGAGCAAAAGATCAATGTCCCTTATTGAGAGTATAAGATATAAAACATGACTGGGCTGGAGAAAAGAAAGTGTAATGCAAAATTCCCCTCCACACAATAGAAGTTACTTGCTGTCTAATGTATAGATAATACTAATTTCCTTAAATGAAAGTATTTCAAAAATGGAGTAAAAAACACATGACAATCTATTGCTTAAATAGTCAACTTCTATAAAAGATACATTTAAACATGGAACAAAGATCGTAACACATAGCTATTATTTTTGACATTTAATGTCATTCACTAAATGGTTCCTACCAGCATGTGTGAAGAGCTAAGAGGCCAAGCAAATGATGAAGGAACATCCTTTCAATATTTCATACAGGGGTTCAGAAAAAAAAAATACTCGGGGGCCACTATACCCTATTACTGGCCATTTAGAATCATAGATCTGTTGGGGAATCACAAGCGTCAACTACCAGTTGAGCGATCAAGTTGCAAATTGATGTCCCTCCTCCCCTAGACCATCTTCCATATATAGAAATTCCAAACTCTGAGACTCAATCTGTAGATTTAGATCTCTAGGCTCTTGTTCAAATGTAAATCCCCCTGCATAGTTTACTGGCTATTCAGAGACCACTAAGAGAAGGAAAGCCAGGGTACCAAGAAGATAGTTTGCTGGGAAGTTGGGGGTAAGGGAGTGGTCACAGACAAGTTGTCCCTGACGTCATAATTCTGTCATGAGCTACCTCTGACCACAGGCCTCATGTGATGGTACCAGTTCATGTTCCAGCGTACTTCCCCCTCTTAAGTGTAACACCAGGCAAAAGAATTCTTCAAAATGA